TACATCACCAAAACAGTCTCACCCGATAAATAAGTGGCGTAGGCCGCAAACATCTTGCTGAGTGAGACTTCACCATGTAATCAGTGTATCCGATGTCGCCGTTCATTTCGCTGATTTCCGGTCGGTCAGAGGGACGAGAGTGGGTGTCTTCTAGACTATGCCTTTGGTGGTATTTCTTGACACGTTGGTGAAAACCAACTACATACAGCAGTGGTGGTCTGTGGAGACATTAGGGGGGGACTCTCCCATTTGATGTTTGTGACGGGGAGCCTATGGCTCTTGTCGCGTCGGTCGGGCTTACGCGGCACATCGCGAGCTCGCCCGGGCTCAAGGGGGACGCTTACTACGTGCGGGATACGATCTCTTGTCCCGCGAGAACTGGTAACGCCGTGTGAGGTCTTCGCCTCTCCCCGTGAGTGCGCGGCATGTGTGCTGAATACCAACACGACATGTCTTGAGCCATACCTTATCGCTATGGTTCGCGTGACACCCACAATGATTGCCTTTGGTTCCGTTCCTCGGCATGCTATCGTCCACAAAAAGAATGTCCGTATTACAGTACTTCAATGAGTCATGATACTCGTCCCCACGAGACGGCCATCCGAAATATGCATCTCAAGGGACGCACACACGAACAAAAACCTGTGGCATCAGAACAGCCACACAAAACATGTCTGGTGTCGGCCGAGTCTTAATATGTTTATCATGATGGATACAACAAACTGCTTGCTGTACTGACGAAGAACGCCGTTTGCCAAGCTCGTGTCCGCTCCGGGGACAAATTTCGACACCTTGATCAAGCCAGATGATTCTGTTGCCCGCGTGTTGCTTTATCCATGCGACCAAGCCATAGGTCCCTGTGTAGTGCCGGTTGCTGGTATGGTGCCGGTGTTTTCGGCTCGCACACACTGGAATATCAAATCGTTATGTACTTTGAATAGTGCCGGTGCCCGGTATAGTGACGGTGAAATTTTTGCGCACACTCCGGCACTAAACAGGGACCTCCACTGTACCCCAAAGAAAAAAGCAACACCCAGAAAACACTGGACCTGCGAGCGACGAGCGGCTCCCTCCGAACCACACTCTAGGTCCTTTGTATTTTAGCACACATGCCACGATGGCACGTACCCTATGCCTGACCAGCGTCAAACGGCAACCTCCATGAAAATGTACGCCAAACTGCACGCTGAACACGCGTTCCATTGCAATGCTTGCGGGGAAAATAGTCGGGCCTGGCGGCACATCCTTGTTCTAATATCGTGCTGCAGAGAGACGAGGAGGCCTAGACTGCAGTCAATCCGTTCAATTTCGCGCGGCAATCGCCAGTACTCTGCCTCGTGCGCGATCTTTCACCGGCGTTCAGAAGCAACAATACTGTCCCTACCTCAATAGGTCGAATGTCTCCGAGATGTCTTGACTGGTGACAACGGGAGATGAAATTGTTTTATTGTAATACCTTATCGCAATAAACCGGTGTAGCACCTGTTGGATTAACAAATTTGCGGGCAACCTTCAAGGAGGGATTGCATCCCGCGTTAACCGACTTTCATTGCTAAAAACCAGACGTCAGGTTTCGCCTATTGCCGTACGGCCTACTCGGCGTGGAGAGACACGACGAGGGAGCGGTAATGTTCGACAGAACGTTCAAGCACAGGAGAAATTGGGGCACCTCCCCTGGGAGCTTACCCGTGACATGTGACACGGTGTTTCTACCTCTACACGAGTTGATGACCAGGGTTTCCACGAGCCCGTTCCACACGCACGTCAACCGCATGAGCGCAACATCGGTCATGTGCAAGGAGTGACCTCAAGGTCAAAGATGTTGGCCTCTTCCTTTGGATCTGGGGGGCGCAACATTTCGCGGTGAAATAGAAATCAGAAACAATGCGACAGGTTTCTGTCCCCTGTGTAGCCTACTGTTGTTGGCCTGACGCGAGGTCGGCCTCTAGGAATCACCGAGACATGGCACTCAGCATGACATCACGATGGTATGGTTCTCTTGTGTGGGCTAGTGCAGATTCCCACAACAGGGGCACGCACGCTGATTGGCCATCGGGAGAGGTTGATTCAGCCCTAGCTGTCAGGCAAGCGTCTCAACGCGCAAACCTCCCCAACCCAATCACATTTGTTTCTCGCCCTGGTCCTACACGCGGCGGATCTTGCGAATATCTCGAGTTTCAGCATTTTCTCTAACGGAAAAACCTCCTCGGCTGCCTCCCATGCAACCCAAAGCAAGATGCAGGTATGATCGACAGCACAACTTCTACGGCAGCGATAAAACGGGCCTTGCTTGCCCTCTCGACCACGACTTCCATGGTCAAGGACAAAAAGACGTTGCAAGTGTGCATTATCATGATACAAACGAAGTGTTTCTGGGAAGCTCGCCCCCGCTCCCCGCTCCCCGCTACCGAGAAGGAAGTCGTGCCCCCTTCCCCTCTCTCTCGGCTCCCCATGACGAAAAAAATAATCCAAAATCACCCGATCATCCGGACTCCCACTACCACGAGTGCGGTAGATCGACATTGCAACCGTAAACCTTCAACAACAGTTGGCAGCTGCCTCTCTTTACGCCACCACCTCTACGTCATCCTCAGCTGATAGTCGCCATTTTGGGTGATATACCTGGTACGGTACAACCCATGCATCGAGGGGGAACGAGGAGCACCACAGTTGAAGAGCGATTCACAGTCTATGTACGGATACACCAATTGCCATCCAACAACCAATTTCGGAATTTGCGAGCATGCAGACGCACAAAGCTTGGCAATTTGATCGTACTTTATGGTACCAAACCGAATGGGGAATAACGATCAAAACTTAAAAGAGAACGGGCACGACAAAGCTGCTCAGGATACATGGGGAAACACGGAGAGCCGGACCTGTTTTCACGTTCTCACCACTCCACTCTATCTACACCTACCAGTCGTAAGTAGACTTTTCTTGTCTCACCTAACCCAAGGCAATGCCTGGTAGCCGCTCTTCTCGATGATCTTGAGGTATCGTACCTGAATACCACTCACAGTGAAGTACGGAATCTCGAACTTCACCTGAATTTGTTGACAGGTTGCAAATAGCCAGCGAATGTTATGCCGAAGTTAAACCGAAGGGTAGCAAACGTCAAGCCGTGAATTGAAAACCAAGAGCACCACATGCGTATCATAAAAGAATTATCGAATGCATACGTAGGACAGACTTCCTTTCGGATCGCAATGATGCCTCCATTTCACTGCCCACGATCAACGATGCAACAAAAAAAAGAAAAAAAACATTTTCGCGCCCGCTCATTGCAAAACGATACAGTACAGTACATGCCATGCCTGACGCAGTGAATGTACCCTAGCAGCAGCAACAATCGGTTCCCAGCTTTCAGCACATACTGCAGGCACGTTCACAGCAGTGCCAGTACGCGTATCAGTAAGTGTGTTGTAGAGCGTGTTCTACGGCACGCTCATGCATCCAACTGCTGTCTAAAAATTGCTTCCAACATCCAACATGCTCTCCGACTTCCAACTGCTGCATTGTCTGCCTCGGGGAACAATTCCGTATCCATCTCCATCGCCGCATTCTGTACTTCTGAGTTGCCAACACCGCCCCGGAATGAACATCGAAGGAAGCACGTTCAAAGTGGTTTCTTCGGCGACGCTTGCTCGTCCACATTCAAAGGGAAAGGAAGGAGGGAGGAGGGAGAGATTTTCTTCCCGGGAAAATGTAGTGTCCCTGTGGAATCAATAAAGCGCCCCAGGGCTTTTGTTGCAAATGCATGATGCCGCGCACACAAACCACGCGAAAACAAGTATTCCCGTTCAACTTCAGAGCGTCTCAATTTCTTCACATGTTAGCACTTGGTGACAAAAAAAAGCTTGAACACAATTTTGGCCAAGCTCAAAGCATCTGGCGAACACGCCATGGTGTCACAGTATGGAGTACCGGCTCCTGAATCTTGAGCGCTTCGAGGTACACAACTTGTGGAAATCTCGAACGAAAATTGAGTAGTTGCCCAAAGCCTGGGCATCTACAAGACCTTGTACAAAGCGTTCCGAAGATATCGCCTGCGAGAGAGCACGACTCACAAACACGCCTTCTCATAACGCAACGCTCTACATCTTCCGACAACCAACAATACGAGTTGAATGTTTGGAAACGTTACAACACTGACCTGGATAGGGGCCTTCCACTCGCGGGCGTCCTCCGCGCTAATGCTAGGCAATCCGAAGTGTGCTCGCATTAGGTACTCCTGGGAGCCGTTGAACTGCTTGATGCTCCACACCACGGCGTCCTGCAAGACATTGATCGACAATGACACGGACATGGACACGGACATTGGCATGACACGCACGGTCCACGAAGAGGGCGGGCGAATAGTCACTACAATGCGATAGGTTGTACTTCAGTATGGAGATGGTCCGCTACGCCGGACGGAGTCGCACCGGAAGAGAACAGGAGAAGAAGAATTCGAACCGACAAAGCACTCGGACCAGATGCAACCAATTGACTTCCGTCTTCCGCCACCACGACCGGACCGCTCTTCCGCCGTTCGAGCTCCACGGAGAAATAGAGAAAAAAGCTACGGCTGACGGCAAAAAACACTTCCAGTCTAATTCCATTGATTCATCCTAACGGTAACGAGGCAAAATCGCACGCAATACAACAAAAAACATTGCAAAAAAAAGACATTTTTAAACCCAACAACCAACCACCTAAAAAATGAATTGATGTCAAGCCCCCATAACTAACATATAAGCGTATTCCCCTGAGAAAAATAAAGCATAACTCATTGTAACCAGAAACTAATTCAGCTCCAGCGTCTGGCATATCAAAAGGATGACGGTTTGAACGGTTGAGGAGCTCCATCGGAGGACTCGACCCTCAAAAAGCGGCACAGTACACCAACGTTGCCCCACTGATCGATCGACCGAATCTACGCCGACCAGCGGTAAACTCGCCAGTCAGTCAATAACCGATCCCAGAACCTCGCCCACACGCCCAAGCGTCGACTACTTGATTGGATGGGAGCCACCAGAGTGGCCACGATTATCGTAGTACTGTAGGGCGACAAACTAGGAAGCTATCTGTACACCTGGAAGAAACAACCGCCACACCTTGTCACAACCCGTAGGACTATGGTGCCAAACCCGCTGCACGGCGAGAGAAAATGGGCCGACGCAATGGACTGGCGTTAACAGGGTTCAGGAGACAGTGGTTGCCCTATCAAGGTCCGTTACCTATCCCATTCGACCTCTTTCTCTCTTTCTCTCACCTGGTCGGGTAGGTAGGCCACGCTTCCGATTGAGGCCTTGAAGGTGGGCGAGTCCACGTCGTTCGGTACGGGTATGATGATCTCCACGTTGTTGGCGATAGAGCGCGACTTGAACTGGCTCTTGGCCTGATAGAAGAAAAAAATACAGAAAGAACACGGAACACACTCAAAGGTCACAAGTCAACACGAGCGCAGAAGGAGAGAAATATTGTGATTGACTCGTCCATCCGACTGGGCATAGGACTCAATGTGTTGCAGGCAGGCAGAATCTTGACCAAGCGTCCCAATGGCAGCTTGAGAGAGAGAAGCCCACTGCTTCAAACGGCCGCAGATTCCATACGGCAGACCTTTGCTTACCTTACTCCCCGTTCCCACAAACAACAAAGCGTTAATCAATTGGCAAGCGAACTCGCACGTACGTGTGTGCGCGTGTATCTTTGTTGCTAACATCGACAACCCTCACCAGCTCACCAATGACAAGACACCAGTCTCCGGGCGGTTGACACAGCAAGTGTTTTTGAATGACATGATGTGGAACGCCGTGTGTGTGTGTGTGTGTCTCCGTGTGTGTGGTCTACATTGTTCTGGGCATTTACACTTTTCGACAAAGGTTCACTTTCAGTTTCTGGGTAGGTCAGCCAGGTGAAGGGTTAGGGAGAGGGGAAGCGTGACTACTTTCATACACTTGACAAAAATCATCCTCCTCGAGGGATATTGCGGGACAAGGACAGACACAGGGGCATGTGGCGCAATGCAGCGTTTTTATCACCAATGTGCATGTACGTACCTTGATCATGTACTCTATCCTGCTGTGCGAGTGCGGCTCCACGACTGCCTCCACCCAGATTAGCGGCTTGACGTGCGTGGTGAGTCTGTAGGTCATCAGGTCAAACTCCCCATCGGGGGGTATGAAGGAGATCGTACGGTCGTTCTCGAACCGAGCCAGTCGCACACACCTACAGTATTCCCATCGAAACAAGGTTAGGGTTAGGGTAAGGGTTAGGGTTAGCCAGTCGCACACACCTATTCCGATCGAAAAAAGATCGCGTAGGAGAGGGGCGGGGAAGACACGAGCACGCATGAGAGGGGCACCGCGGGACAATTGGTACGAGACGATTCATCAAGAGGACCATACCAGCACGTGCCCCTACAGATGATGTCTCTTTACGTACCAATTGGCGTATTCTGAAAGCGTTCCAGCCGTTCGGCGACATATTATTGGGGTAAACATGTATGTGCAACGTGGTGACGGGTATAACCCCCGGCTGAAAAGCAGCATGAAAAATGGTTGTTGCCGGCACAGGCAAAGCATGCCGGAAAAAGCACAAGAACACACACAACACACAGGACTCGCGAAAGATTGAAAGACTCATCGCCATACACAGATCCATCGCATTCCAGTAACAGCGCTATCAAAGGGCAACACAAGCATGACTCGTGGAATAGAGAGAGTAAGAGTCGACAACCCGCCGAACAGCTAGCGAAGAGAGAGGAAAGTAATCATGAAAGGAGGAGTCTAAACCAAGTTGAAGTGGAGTCTGGAGGATAACGAACACAGATGGAGGTCTCGTAGCTTGGGTTGGGTCATAACAGTACTTGACCACAAAAAAAGGCCATCGAAAAAGAGCACCAGGGACAGGCAGGCACACACGTGATCGAAAGCATTTCCCACCAGCAAGCAGAGCAACAACGAAAACTGGAAATCACGATCAGAAACCCACATGCATAAATGTCACGAAACAACTACACCGTTCGGTCTGTCGACAAATGGAGCAGGGAGGCAGCGAAACACCGAGCCAAGCAAGTCACGGCAGCACTCACTGGTGGAACTTGATATCCTCTAGCTCAACGGCCTTCTTCGTCCCCGAAGATCGGCCGCTAGACTCGAACAGCAGCTTGTCGTTGAGCCCCAGCTTCAGCTCCGGCATGCCAGACAAGAAAGACTTGAGGCAATAGACACGAGACATCAGACACCAGCCATCAGGTCCCGGGATGCAGAGCGGGGCAGAGAGAGAGTCGGCAACGGAAGCAACAGCAGGAAGAGAGAGGGAGAGTGGCGGGCAGGAAGACGGACACATCGAGGTAGAGGCTCGTGTTTCACGTCTATGAAACAGACGAGATCTTGTATGCTGAGCTTCTGAAATAAAAAAACATTTTTAGGCTTGGGAAGAGAGTTCTGAGCCAACTTGTAAAACGATTCAGTAAATCATATTTTCATTTTCCAACAATCGTTCAAACGAGCAAAAGTCAACGTTGTGAAAGAAAAAAACGTCTGTTGCCCATACCCAACACAACGGAGGTCCCATGGGACATACACAACGAGGTCTTCATTGCATTTGGATCAAATCAGAGAGAAATAAAACAGATGTTGGGAAGCGCGGTTCGTTTAGAATGGACCAGACAAAAAAAGGTACGTGAGATATTCTGCTGTGGGTTGGTAATATAGGTACCTTCATCTTGACGGCACCCACGATCTCCGAGTGAAGCACCGTTCCGTTGGAAGACTCGAGCAGGTTCAGCTTCTCCACCACCTATTATAGCAAGGACGGGAGGCAAGAGAGGAGAGTAAGACGAAAATAGCCACCGTGACTTGCTGCCATGACGCGTTCTGGCGCGCAAAACCACTAAAGTATCGAAGCAGCATGGCATCTCACTTTGCTACCCCTACAATTGAAAATCCATCCAGCAGGATGGCTTGGACAGACGAAAAAATAGACCCAACATCCAACGCATGGGTCTTGATAGTGATGTATTGTTTTTCGGCAGACAGAGGCACGCGCATCACCACCCTACCGTGGGACAAACGATAACATGGACTTATCCGTGTGCCATCATAATTACCAGAACTCGAAGAGATTTGCGGATATAGCAAAGATGACAAGTTGAGGCCGGGAAGGTGCTGCACCCATAAACAGCCACGAAGGAAACCGGCATGTACCCTATCTTGCCGTAAGCACGAAAACCTAGCACAGGATACTCAAATCAAAATCACAAGCTCCGGCTGTTCCCGACAAGCCAAGAAGGAAAAAGGGAAAGACTAGACAGGAGGGAGCTAAATGACAGTCGCAAAACATACCAATATGCCTTGAAACGGGGCAATGTCGGGGCAAAAACAATCAAGAACGGACAGCCACGTTGATCAAAGGACCAGGCGCGTAACGGATCGACAAGAGGAGGTGGGGAAGAAAATGCCACACACAAAAAAAAAAACAGCGGTCGAAAGTCGTCAATATGCGCATGTCAAGTCAAGATACAAACTGTCAATACTGCTGTACATGTATGCTTACATCCAGGAAAATCTCATTCTTGCGATGCTTGATTCCCTCGCTTCGCCAGGAGACGGCGTTTGTCAAGGCCACAGGCGGCCGCGGTGCCGCCTCCAATCGGTTCCCTTCCTGTCAACCACAACCACAACATTGGGGGTCGCGGAATCAGCTCGAGGACACGGTGCCCAAAGCGTATGCCATCAACTACTAGGGACTCAGCTAGAAATGTTAGTAAGGTGTGACTATGCCAAGGTGCACAGAAGCTACAAGACACAAGAGCATTATCAAACGATGGCAACTGCTGTTGTCATGCTGCTGCAACAACGGGTGTGGTGTGGTTTGGTCAACACAGGCGGCTGCAGGGCACCGGACACCCAACAAGGCGACTTGGTTTTACATTACAAGTACACAAACAACGACAACAACAACGACGACAACGACGAAAACGACAAAAGACGATTGCCTAGAAACAACGCTCGCCTGGGTAATGTATTCCCTGAGAATCTTGGACTCCATGGTTTGTGGGTATCCGAAGTCCATGGTCTCGTCGAGGAGCTCGTAGATGATGACAAAGTTGTCTCGAATAGACTCCTCCTCAAGCTCCCCAAAGTAGTCCTTGAAGACGTCAACCTGAAAGGAATGAGAAAGAGGATGAGACGGTGGAACAATAACACCAAAGAACGAGGAGTACAGTAGACATCAACGATATGATGATAGTATTGCTTGCGCACATCCAACGTACGACAAGAGAGGACGGAACAAACAATGACGTCATCGAACTAAAGCTCAACATGTCAAAGATCGCTCAAGCGAAATAACTACACATCGGTGTCCATTCCACATTCCACACAAACTGTACAGACCTTGAGCAAAGGCACAGTACCGCTGTTCTACCAAGCTGCTGCAAACTGCAAATCGGGGACCACGCCGCAACACATCCAACAAACGGCCACAAAAAGGAGAGGAGTCCGCCAAAATATCAGCCTTCAGTTAAAAACATTGCGTGACAACGATAATTGTCTCGACCGATACGACTGTCAGATAACATGTACTGAAGTTTAAGTTTCGGTTTGAACACGTGGACTGAACAAGACAAACGGCAACGGGTTGAAAGTTGTAAATCGTAAGTATGCATAGCAAATGCATCTTCGGGAAAAAAAAAGAACGAGAGAGAGAAAACTCGACTTGGCGCTGGTGCCCATTCCTAGGTCAAGTGGAGGTTAAAGTCAAAAGTCTGTCACGAGCAGAATGAAACGAATGGAATTTTTGTACCATGTATGGAATGAACTGTTTCGTGACACACTAATCTGTGTTGTATTGTATGCCATCCACGAAGGCGTCTTCGTGATACCTTCATGTTCACAGGGCTAGAATACTACCTCCTTCAACACAACACCGATAGCTACGCCACGACCGACGAGCAGTGGTAAGTGTGGCGTTTGAGCACCAAAGTTTGAAGTTCCACAGCAACAGAGCCTCACCAGCTTGTACAAGTACACCAGCATGAGCGCGACGTTGCTGTTCCTCTTGGTGACGCTCATGAGAATGAGGTTGTTGTACTGCACGTACACGAAAGTCACACCCTCCACCGTGAAGATAGGCTTCTGCTCCATCTCCTCCCTCTCTTGGATATGGTTGCTGTCATGTCATGTCATGTCATGTCATGTCATGTCATGTCATGTCAGGAGAAAATGAACAGATATTTTCAGGGTAGAATTCAGGGTAGAAGGAGGTAGGCTATCATAGCTCGCACCAGGCTACCCAGCACCGACAACCTATCCAGCAAAATGAACGTCCAAGACAAGGATGGAAGGGAGGGAATCAAAAACCACACACCACTCACGGGTCCACGCCAAAGAACACAAGAGGAATCAGGGCGGCACGGCTAATCTGCTCCTCTATCGGATACAATAAACGACTGTACAGCTACAGTACGATGGCAATGAAACAACCAGCCACTCACCACACAATGAGAAACACTTCCAGCAGGTTTTCATTTTCGAACACGTCTCAGCAAAATGTGCCTGTCTGGAAATCGGGATTGCGTCGGCCGGACCGGGGGTGCTACATTGGCGCACCACAACCGGTGCCCGATAAGCCACCAGTGCGAGAGTGCGAGAGCAGCAGTGGGAAACCGTAGCACCACTGCAGCAGACACCATCTCTGGGCCTCAACCGGCAACATAAAGCAAGAGTCCCAATACAAGACAAGACCAGACCAACTAACGTCTCGTCTGTCACTTTTCACCTCTTCCATCCTAAAATGAAGCACACCACTATTCGGTGCGACAAGCCAACCTTGATAAAAATGGGGGTGTCGTGCTCATGTCATGTGTCATGGCCATGTGTCATGTTGTTCTTATGTCCCGTGGTCGGCGCACACTGTTCAATATTGACGCAGCTTGCCTTGCCCCATAGCTGCCAATCTCTACACTTACACTACATTACTCTCGAGAAGGCCATCCACATTGTTATGTCATTGAAATCGCAGAAATGATCTCGTCGGCAGGACCAGCACGTCTGAACCGGTTCTTCTCTGACAGCAACTCTCTCGGACGATGCAGAATACGATGCATAGCTATTAATATTCGGTCCGATGCCGGTTACGACAGCTACAGATAGGCGGAGAAAGTTGATGAGCTATCCTCATGTATGTCTTTTTTTTACAACAGATGTAATCCTTCAACTGTGTATACTTCTGGGCAATGCCATCTCATCTCACACTCTCGTTCATGCCAACAACGGACACACGTCGTCACTACTGTACAGCGATGACACAGCGGGGTTCCCCGCAAAAGGCGGTGGTGGGGCAGCTTTGACCGTCTTATAGGGGCAGCCGCCTTATTCAATGTGTATGGTAGAACAACTTGATCTTTCCGTCAATATACTACTAACTTTTCCCGCCTTACATAGCGCGAATGCCTTCTTCGGGTAACTCCACTGTGCGAAGAGGTGGGGGGGGGGCTTCCTTTCGTCACGCCGCATGCTCCAGACTCTTAACAGTTCGACGTATACCGTGGCATAGCAGCACAACAGAAAACAATTGCTCGGTCGCCAGCTCACCTGAAAGTTTCGGAAACCGTCATCGGCACGTCTCCGCGGAAGTTTCTCGAGATGATGATCTTCCCCTTGAGGTCCATGATGAACAGAGCGGAGGCCACCATCGTGCCAGCACCTAGAGCTAGTTAGCTCCCTGGTAAAACTCCTGCAGATTCCCTTTCCCGTTATTGCACGCTGCTAAGGCTGTTGCACACTACCACCACTCCCCCCCTCATCAACCGCCGTCAGCGCCAAGCAGGAGGGAGTTTTTCTGTTCTGGCCCTTGGCAGGGGACGGATCCAGCAGGGATGAAGAGTGTAGCGAGCAGCGAATCGGCAGGTGACAATCGTAGGGCTACCGCGGGTTAAATAGAGCTACTCATCATGCGGCTGTTCACGCAGGCAGTGGGTGAAATGGTAATGTAGTGATGGGTGCCAACTCGAAGAACGTCCCAAACAAAACATTAGGACAGGAAGAAACGAAAAGCTGTCAGCTGTCATGCCGACGGAAGTGCTTGTTGCCACCTTGTGACCCAGCTGCTACTGGCTGCTGTGCGTGACATGCGGCAGGCAGTGGGGCGGCCAACCGCGACTCTGCACCCAAAACGTACCATGGTACACTGCAACACCGCTGTATCATGGTAGAAGTACATTGGAACACGCCTGCCTCACGGCACCTCCACTACCCTTGTGGCTAACATGACAACATGCGACGACGCCAGAAAAACAGACTAAAGCTGGCAGCCAGGCAGCCACTGCTGTTGTACATAACCCCATCACACCACACGGAGCAGGAGCATTCTTGTACAACGGAACAGCTGCTCTCCCAAAGTGAGCTACAGCAGCAGTACAGTGCCGCAAATGCTTGCTTCGGCGGGCGTCGACACGTTTGACACACAGCACTGCCACGAGAATCAGTGATTTGCGATACGGAAGGAGTACAAGATATTTGCAGTAATCTCACCGATGCACCCACTTCGTCTACCACTGCTGTAGATGATAAAAGTAGTGTTTGTCCGAAGGACACTGCTTCAGAGCATCAAATCACATAACGAGAGACACAACCAAGCTGGTGTACAATGATAGGTAGTTGAGGTGCTTCGAGAATGACCTGGGTGTATGTATGCAGCGTCGGTGAACCCTGTGTACTGCGTACAGGAGTACAGCAGCAGTCGCAGTGTCGCAGGCTGGCAGGTCAACGGCGGTGGTACATATCAGAGCCAACGCAGATGACCTACACACCAAATCACCAGCAGGCGTAAACCCTTCTGCAACCCTCCTGGTTAGACGGCCAGTCTAACTGGAGGCTTGGGCAAGTACCCAGAGAAGAGGCTTGGCCCCTAACAACCGGAAGAAGCAGCGTGAGCCGCTGGTTTATGTGTACTCTTCAGGTTGGGGTTGGTGGGCGGAACAAACACAAGAAATCAGGGGGGGGTTAGTACGACTGCGCTCCACGGCTTCGCCAGCTCACCAACACCTTGCACACAAGAGGCAGAGAAACAGGAGCAACGGTTGCTTGCTCAAGGCAACGCCAGATAACACGTCGACGTTGCAGGGTGGAAATCAGTGCTACCAGAGGACTAATACTCACCACCGCGCCAACATACCCCTTTACTGCTGTACCCTCCAGCCTCTGCCCAGCCTGCTACCAGAATCGCTTCTGCTGCTGCCGTGTGAACCGTCTCACCTCAGTCTCTGGCTGTCTTTGCTTTCCCCCCGACAGCGTGCTAGTAGCTGCAAGCTCCTCCGCCGGTCTTTTCTTCTTCCCTTCTGGCCACACTCCCACAACCTCGTTGCGGCTACCTACTTTTTCAGTGCGTGCCTGGATCTCTGTCACGTTCTCGGCCCGCCCAGGGGGGGGCACATGCACCGGTATATTTCATAGAGTTGTACCTGTACAATAGGATCATGATATACGGAGCCCCGGGGACAGAACCCGCCCATCCCCGGGGCCGCTGCGATCTTCCGGAGGTGGGGATGGTTAGCGCAACCGTCCGTGGTCGCGTGCCTGCCGTACGAGTCGACAACCGCGTTTGTGTGGTTTCGGAATGAGAGCCTGAGCCGATGAACAAGCCGGTGAGTGCTTGCTTACGGATGCCGACCTTCGATCCACCGAGATTTGAGACGAACGAAAGCAGACATGAGTTCAACACTTCAGCAACGGCAGTGGTACACAGGCCGGCAGACCTGTGCATGGATACTCGTGCGGATCCACCATCTCCCAGCTGTTGTATACATGCATTCCATAGAGCAGCGAACACCGCCCATGTTGCCGAGCAGCAACGCGAAGTATATACTTCAGGAGGGTAGTTATGGCCTATGCGTTTAACTTGCCCGAGAACACGAGGAAATCGACTTGACAACCATGCGGAATGCTGGGAGACTGGGATTCTCGGACCCAACTTGAAGTCTCTGTTTATGTAAGCAGTAATAGGTAGAGGTGCAGGTTTACCACACAGCGGTCGGTTAGCGCGCAATCTTTTCGGAACTACTGTGACCTCTCGTCCCATGTTTCTCGTTCCACCGCTACGTATGCAGCATACGATAGAAGCATCGCCACAAGCAGAGAGTCGACAGCAGCCTGATGTGGCATACCGGTGGTCTAGACTACTGATTGACCTGTGTATGCGTTGTACTGCAGTCTACGATCTGACAATCGGTGCAACAGCTTGAACCTGATCAACTTGCTCTCGGTTGCTTTTCGGGCGGTCTTCTGGTTCCTTCGTTAGTGTTGCGTGTGACTTGGGCATTCTCTGCGATGGTCGTCATTGTTGGTTGATCGCAAGTGTCCTCCCAGGCTCTGCTGCCGTTGTGTTTTCTTTCTCCATGGAAGTGAGCTCCTCCTGGTAAACAAGGATCCATCCATCTGCCTGTGAGTCCCTCACCCACCCATCTCTTCAGTACATANCGCAATCACTACGAATTCGAAGTGGTCCTTCATCGGGGCATTTGTGTTTTTCCGGTATTTTTCCATGACAAATGAAGAATACTACGCTGGCACCATGTCATCACCACACGCATTTTTTTTTGTTTCATCGATAGGTCGTGTTATAAGCTAACGATCGATACCGCTCTGTCGCCATAAATCGTCAAGACACCCGAGAACGACTTCTCAGAGCGGGGGCTCCGTTACGTGGTCCTTAATCGGCACATTTAACAACATATTGGTGAAATTGAGAGCGAAGCATGAAATAGAGAGCGAGAGCCAAAACAATTGAAATTCGGTTCCAGACGCCTCTTCTTGCCATTTCTTGGGAAGTAGGGGGCGGGCTCTTCCAAGAAGCGGCGCAAAATGAAGGTCTCATCAGCAGCGTCACGAGCATATGCGTGTCATCGTCATCGGATGCTGCAGCTAGGAGCTAGACAAGTTCCTAGATTTCCCCAGATTGGCTATTCCTGCCTCAAACTGTTGCAGGGTGGTTTGGCCTCGGGCGGTGGGCTCTGCTGTAGCTTCTGCTATTTAGCCGCTGTAACTCCACATCGAGAGACTCCCACAGGATGACCAGGGTATCTGCTTGTAGCTACACAGGTGGCCAGTGGGCACGGTTGCGGGGGCGTTAACGTGACATGTAACCCCTAAGCGTTGTGCAACCTGCGTAACCCGGTCGGGCGCACCTTTACCAACTCCAAGGTAAGGCAGGGTTCCGAAACGCCGGTCCAAACCCAGTTAAGGGAAATTCCTCAAGTGCAAGGGTAGGTTCTGTAGGGTACCCACATACGAGTTCTGTGAGTTCTGTGAAGGTCGCACCACAGTACCCTATAGTTCTGCGAGTTCTGTGACAGACCCAGCACCCTACCGAACGTTTCTGTGAGTTCTGTGACAGACCCAGTACCATACCGAACTTTTCTGTGGAAACTTTATCGAATAATAGATATGCGCTCAGCTCATTAGCACCCGGCTGGCTCACTTGTGGGCTTGAGAATAGCGATTTCCGGGGACGAACCCCTCGCCAGACGTTGTCAGAAATACTTGATGGTGCTTGGGAAAGTGACCAGCCGGGATTCGGACTCGTGCGTGCATCCTTTAACGCCAAATGTTACACCAATAGATTTTTTTTCTGACTAATCTAATGGTGTAACTGGTGCTGACTAATCTAACGGTGTAACATTTGGCAATAAAGGATGCTCGAACGAGTTCGAATCCCGGCTGGTCACTTTCTCTACCATTAAGGTCTTTTCATCAGCGTCTGGCGAGAGGCCCGTCCCCGGAGATCCCTAATCTCAATCCCAGTGATTAAAAGCCATAAATCCCAAACTGATCCAGCCGGGTGCAAATGAGCTGGGGCTCTATGCTTTTTTCGACAAAGTTACACCATTAGACCAGTCAGCGCTGACTGATCGAATGGTGTAGCTTTATCGAAGCTGACTGGTCTAATGGTGTAACTTTATCGAATACAGTCTTCGGTCGTACACATTAAAGATGTACATGTCGTCAGTTGTATATACACATGGACAACATATGTAGCGTTTGGCTGCGCACCCGGTGATTGGTACAACCAGGGGAGTAATGTGTCCTCTTCAAAACACGTTGATTGAGAATAGAGGGACCGGTGTTTACAATAGGAACAGCTGCCAAAATAGTACATATCCGAACGCCTTCACCTGCCACGAAAATGTGGGTTCGTCTCGCAGGTTGGCACCAGCCAACCTACCAAAATGACGAGATGATCAAAATATGTGCAGCAGGCAAACGTTGGATTACCTTGTCGCACTTACTTCAGCCTTGTGCACAACGCATATCCCTCTGACTTAATCAATGTCGACGTGCTTCTTGCTTCAACGTTGCCGCACTTCCCCCCATATTCCTCTTCCAAACGGCTGCCACACAGTTGCCCGGGATCAGCGGGCGGACACATTCCCCACGAGCACAAGTCCTGGCGCCCTACTCCACCTCTCCCAAGCTCTTCCACGACGACGAGGGCTCCTTCGCAAAAGTGTCCGTACAAACGCCGATCGCACCTCCAGCTGCCTCGTCGACCTCAAGCCCTACCACTGCGGCGGCAACGAACTCAGCTGAACCAGTCCCGGAAGGTTCAGCATTACCAACGGCGTCGGCGTCAACGTTTTACTGTGGAAGCGGAGGAAGCATGGCCATAATGCCTGCATTAGCCGGGAAATCCCTCGTACCGCTACCCGACCCATCCCCCTACCCTTGTACGGTCGCGGTAAGCACCGAGGCAAGATCCACACCATCATTGTCATCCCGGGCGTTGCCGTGCGGGACGGTGACCGCGTCCTCTCGCGTGATTGATACTGGTAGGAGCGTTCTCTCGACGCCGAGCATGGCAACCCTTGCCAGCAGCCCGCCAGCAGCAATCGCCCCTGCGGGGAGCGAGATACCGGCATCTTGGTCTCCCTCTCCAAAGAGAACACCAGTACGCCACCCATTGACGCCTATTCACGCTACCACCACCCCCCCCTCTACCACGGCAGCAGCAGCCGCTGCAGCACGACGGTCGGTCAGCCCGTCATCATCATCGTCATCGGGATTCTCGCACAAACTTAGGCGGCGACTGCTGGACGCACCCGAGGCCTCGGACAAAAGCAGCAGCGGCAGCCACGGCGGGGGGCGAGTAAGGTCGGGCTCCGAAGAGGCGGCGGTAGCGGCGGCGACGATAGCGGCAACGGTCTCTTCTGGCGACGCCATGGGGTTCGGAGACGGTACGATCAAGAAATCGGGGCTACTTCGTCGGTGCAAGTCGTTGGTGGATGAGATCCCTCCCTCGTCGAGAGGAGGCCAGTCTCCGGGTTCGAGGTTGCAAAACGATCAGCAGGGCAGCCAGGGGGCAGGAACCGAGTCGCACAAGCCCGCCACGGCTCCGGGGGTAGGCATCTTGAGGAGTACCAGCTGGGAGCCCGCTTGTAACACGTCCATCGAGCCGCCACGGGGGTTTGTTGGTGTCTCCGGCCAACACCGCCGGCCCGCGATTCCGCCCCCCAACAACAGAGGCATTGCATCCTCCAGGAGTGACGCCGGTGAACATGGACACGGATCATCGAACGCCACCGGGGGGCTACCCTCATCGAAAGGGCTCAAGAGTCCGCCCGTCATCCCGGGCCCGGCGTCGGCAACCTTGGGTCTGACGTCGGCTTCGCCTACGCGATCATCGTCTTTCTGCGGCAGCGATGGGGGGCTCCGAATATCCCCCCTGCAGCGCTCCGGTTCCTTCTGTAGCGTGTCAGACGCCGACGCCGACGACGAGGCTAAAGCCGCTAGCTTTTTCCTCTGCGGAAGCCTCAGTTCGGACGGCGCCTTGCACCCGTCGCCACCTCTCCTGTGTTGCTCTCCTCCGGTTGTAGGGGCACTCAGCGACGTTGCCCATGACGATCGGAAGAGCAAGGGCAGCGGCGGGGCCATGGGGGGGCGGCGAGCCAGAGGCGTGGAGGGTGGGGGGGTGCGGAAAACGAAGCAGTCGCCACCTCAAGGTGGGGGCCAGAGGGTCGATAGCGCGCCGACGTCTCCTGAGCAGAAGCAGCCGACGAACGATGCCTCTCCGAGCGCAGATACACCCAACCTCCAACGGCAAATTTCTTATTTTGAGAAGGCGCCTGAGCCGCTGTATCTCAGGCCTTCTCCAAGCCGGGGAAAGAAAAGGTAAGGTGGCCACAGACATTGCAGGGCTTTGGCGTGGTTGAGTGCTGGGTGTCCAAACAACATGCACTACGAACAACACGTAGTGTAGAGAAACATGGTTTCGTTTTGCACGGGAAATACATCGAATATGAGAAGGTTTCTGATTTGACTGACCTGCACCTGCACGGTATTTGTGTGCTTCCCAGCGAGCATAATGCAGAAGATGTTCAACTCACAGCACTCTCGAATTCA